GTTGGACTCGATGATCTTAGAGGTATTTTCCAACCTTAATGGTTCTATGATTCTATGATTCTTAGCTTCAGGAAGGAGAAGAAAAAAAAAAAAAGGACAGCAGTTTATTTTAGAAGAGTTAGAGAGACCATGGTGTTAAACATATCCTTGCTGCATGGTTTTAACTTCAGGTGGAACAAATTGCGTTTTAAGTGCAGATATTGACTAAAAAATAAACTTTAGAGAAGGCTCTGCTAAGAAAGTAGTCTCAGTAAGCCAGCTACGTGTGCGGCCATAAGCAGCATTTAGCTCCAGATCAGGTCCCAGAGGCACTGTGCCGCACAGGAGAGCGGGGAGTCGCAGAAAGGACCTTCTCCTCCCTTCGCTGGGTCCCTCCAGCCAGTGCGGTACACAGACAATGTACCATGGCTTTCCTCAGCTGGTTTTCTTACCGAAAAGAAAGGCAGTAAAAAAGCAATGTAGTGACGTTCAAGCCTGCTACGCTCAGGTTTCCTTTCCCATCGCATAACCCCAGGGAAGGACCGAAACGATGCTGGTTGTTATTGGCGGGTGACAGGAGCTCCAGAGCTGATGTGCTGCTCGCGGACGTCTGCAGCGTGAGGGCACAGAGCTGGCCTCGGTCGGAGGAGCTGCTCCTCCGATGTCTTACCGTGGCCCTTCAGTGAATCCCCCTCTAAGCCAATGTTACTGCTCTTCTTCTAGGCTGAATAAACCCAGTTATCTAAATATATTTGTTTGTCTCTCTACTGCTAGGGTTTTTATTTCTTTGTGCCAGAAGGGATGTTTCCAAGTCCTAAATCATCCGAGATGGGCTATTCTTACAGGTGCAAAAGAGAAAGAAGTGTATGCCACAATGAAATGACTAATTGCTTAGTCGTTTCCACGTTTAGATTTGGGTATGTAATCTCTTGTGTTTGACTGCAAATACCAAGAGATGACTGAGAACGACTTAACGTGATACCACCCTATAAGTGAACTGCCAAGACCTTGAAACTGTGGAAATACAAGTAATAACAGAGCGCGTTGATCTGCAGAGCCTCCAGGACGCGTCTCACATGAAGCCTCCGGTTAGAGAGAGTTATTATTTCATGCTGAGCAGTGTGATTGAATAAATATAATTTCTGAAAAGGTAACGTGATCACTGTAATTTTGCTGTGAGCATTAGCATCTTTTATACTATTTATAAATACTTTTCCAAACGTGGTTACAGATGATTTTTCATCTTCTACTTTTTTTCCTGCCTTGTTTTTGTTGATTTTGCACTTCCAGTAAGCTCCCCCGCCAGTTGTTTTGGCAACTGTTGTAATCGCCGAACTGAGTCACGTTGGAATCCAAATTAATAAGTGTTTCCTGTTGGCTCAGAGGAGATGCAAGGAATTTTGTTTCCTTTTGAAAAGTCTTTGGGAAGCAGTTAGCTACAGTAGCAGGATAAATATCTGCGTTTGAAGTACTACCGCTTAAATACCTTTTCTCCCTTGAGCAGAGTTACCTGCCCCCATTCCAATTAGAGCAAAGCTGCGCGGCAGAGTTTCTACTCACGAGAAGCCTGTTAAACCCAGATAAAGCCCCCACTTCGCGCCCCCGGGGGCGCAGCCAATTTATTCACGCACAGCTTTGCAGCGTGGTACTACGGCCGATCTCCCGAATTGCTCCCGTTTCAAACGGGTAGCTGGATGCTTACCGCACCGAGACCGACCAAAACCAAGACGCGCGCTTGCGCGGCTTCACCGTTCACGGCCAAGCCGCAGGGACCCGCAGGAGAAAAAGGTTAAAAGAAAACAGGGAAAAGCGAGGGTTTAAAAAAAAACCCCAACAACCCCTAACTCCATAAACCAGGGTTTAAGAGAGGTGGCTCTATGAGCAGATCCCGCGCTGCTACCTGCATCATGAGGGCTTTTTGCCTGTTGTCTCTGGGTTTGGTTGGGTGGGGGT